GGCCGGAGGGTGGCTGTCCACGGTGCAGCGGACGATGACCAGCCGGCCACCCTGGGTCTCCTGGAAGAGCGTGAGGGTGGGAATTCGGGGTGGATCTGTGGGATGGGAGAGGATGCTGAGGTTGGGGTGTCCTCGTGGTGTGGTCAAAAGGAAAATCCCAAAAGTGGTTTGAGTTGGAGGGGACATTAAATCCCAGCTGGTCCCATGGGCTGGGACACCTTTGACTAGCCCAGGTGGCTCCAAGCTCCATCCAACCTGGCCTTGGGCACTTCCAGGGGTGGGAAGTGTCCCCTTGACCAACCTGGATGTCACAATCTGCTTGTCCCATGTGTCACCAGGTCAGATTTACCCCACACCTGTCACAACCAACCCATGGCTGGGTTATTTCCCCCCTGAAAACCTCCTGAGCTGTTCTTATCCTGCTGGATTCTCCTTGAGAAACCTCCTCAAATCTTACAGAATGGAGAGGATTAGTGGGAGATGCTGCGATGGTCCCAAATGTCACTTAATGTCACCTCCACACCTGCCTCATGGCCAAAATTTGTTGCATTCCCATAAAATGCAGCCAGCAGGGCAGACCCCTCTCATCTACCCCTGGGGCAATCAGGAGGAGGCTTTGCCATGAATTTTTGGAGGGAATTTCCTGGATTTTGTGGGGTTTGCACAGCCCCATGTGGCAGGAGCTGGTGGCACTCACACGTCACGCTGAGGCTGATGGCCTGGGCCGTGTCACTGCCCTGGCTGTTGGTCACTTGGCAGGAGTAGTAGCCGGCGTCACCAGCGGCCACCGTGGGGAAGAGGAGGGTGTGGGCCGGACCCTCCTTGAGCCACGCGCTGTTCTTGAACCAGGTGTAGGTCAGCTCCTCGGGGTGTCCCTCCCGCCCGGGGACATTGCATGACAAGGTGGTGGCCGTCCCCTCGAGCACCTCGGCCGCAGGGCTGGCTGAGATCTCTGCGGCTGAGGGAGAAGGGACACGTTCAGGATGGTCCCTGGGGACAGGAAAACAGATCCCCCATCCCAAATCCCCCATTCCAGAGCCTGGGAGAAGATGGAAGCCCCAAAATCAGAGTTGGGGGCCATTTGGGTTTGTCCCCTGCCACCAGCTGGGGACACCTGGCTTTAGAGCAAAGCCCCAAGGGCCAAAAGCAGGGTGGTGGAGAAGGGTCTTTCACCTCTCAGGGTGGGCTCAGGGGGGTTTTGGGGGTGACACAGGGACTCATCTGGGGGGAGATGATCCCTGTGGGATTCCAGCTCAGGCAGGGAAGGATGGGATTTGTATTTGGTGAGGGATCTGGTGGGAAGAGGAGACTTCCTTTCCCTGTGGGGGTGGAATTCCCAGAGAAGCTGTGGCTGCTCCTGGATCCCTGGAAGAGCCCCAGGCCAGGCTGGACATGGCCTGGATCCACCTGGGATATTGGGAAGTGCCCCAGCCCATGGCAGGGGTAGGAATGATCCCTAAGGTCCTTTCCCACCACGGCTCTGGATCTCCACAAGATCCCAACCCCTTCCCAGCTCTGCATCCTGTCCCAGGCTGGAAATCCCTTCCTGGGATTTTTCTGGGATCACCAAGACAAGGGACAGAGGTGTGGCACAACGGAGCCACCACCCTCCTCCTGCATGGACACCCCAATTCCCGGACCTCCAGCAGCACTGGCCACCTCCATCCCATCCGTGCCCACCCCAATGTGGGACCCTCAGGATGTCCCACCCTGGCAGAGCTCCCGTGGCACTTACAGAACACGCGGAGGGTGACAGGAGGTGACACCCCGGTGCCCAGGGCGTTCTGGGCCTTGCAGTGGTACCGCC